CCCCAAAACCCCAAAACCCCAAAACCCCTCTATCTATTTTTTAATTATTAAAGAGATGATTATTGAAATGCGAAATAATAATGAAATTAAGATTAAGTCATTTCATTCTCTTGTGTCATCTAATTTAATTATATTTTCATCCTTGCAATTTCACCATCCTCCACTTTCCTAATTTTAATTGTTATCGTTGTCTGCATTTGTTCTCCATTCCTGTTGATCATCTCTTCTAGCTGAGCCACCATCATCTCTCCTTTATCTTTTGTAAGGTCTCTCTCCATTTTGTTAGTCGTTTGGACATTCTCTTGCAAAGTGACCCTCTTGCTAGCATTTGTGGCATTCTCTTCCTCTACCTCTTCCTCTTCCACGACCAGCACCACGATTATCGTCTCTCTGATCAGCATTTGGACAGTCTCTAGCCATGTGTCCCTCCTCGTTACATTTAAAGCATCCACCTCTACTACGGCCTTGATTTCTAGTGTCAGGATTTGGGCAATCTCTGGCCATGTGGCCAGTCTATTAGCATTTGAAGCATTAGCTTCCTCCTCCTCCTGAGCCTCCATTTCCTCTACCATATCCTCTTCCACGACCTCTTCCTCTACCCCCTTCATCTTGAGACCTTTAGGATTTAGGTGAATATCCTCTATCCTCATTAAAGTCATTGCCAGGAAGAGTAGGCTCTGGCTACCATTAAGAGGAGCTAATTTGCTCATTTCTTGAGGGAGTCTTTTATCCCCAGCCCCCCATAGTCTGCTCATTAGATTCATCCTAGGAACCTCTAACTTAAGTAGTAGCATTATCAACATTCCATCCTGTTGAAGTATCATTATTGACGTTGGACTAGCTGCTCTAATATTGAGGCCATTTGCTTCCTTAGTTATCCTCATCTACTTCCATTATTTAATCGTTAGCAGGTTATTCTTATCTTCTCTAACCTCTTCCAAAAGATGTTTAATTTTCTCTGTTGTTTCCACCTCTTCCTCTGCCAAAAGATCTTTACTACTTTTATGGGCAATCACTTGAAATATGTCCAGGCTCTTTACAAATAAAGCATGTCCTGTCTCCTCTGCCCCTTTGTTCGTGATTATCATTATTTCCATACTCTGAGTAGCCAGGATTCACAGAATTACCTCCATATCTTGAGGCTCCATGATCTACTCATAATTACTTAAATTAATAATACCTCCTTGCTTGAATGTAGATCTAGCGTATTGAGTATTTGCTTCATTTTCCTCATTCATGCTGTGAACACTATTTGCTCCTGATTTAGTAGTCCATTGTTTGTCTATTGAGCCCCAGTCTTTCTTTTCTCTAGAAACCTGAGAATCCCTATTTATATCATTGGATGGTATCACTTCAGTTTTATGAACTCTTGCCACTGGAGATCTTTGTCTCTTCATATGTCTCACATATTCCTTTTACTGGCAATTATTTTTAAACCAATTAATCAAGTTCACTGAAGGTGCATGATATTTATCATGGAAATATAGTCCTCGAGGTTTTACCTATTTTGAGTTATTATCAAAAGTTAATTACCTTGATATATTCCTTAATCAGATGTATCTTAGGAATATAACCTAGGACAATATGCTATGGATAGTTTGGCAAGATTGTAATTCTATAAGGAATCCTGCTTTAATCAGCACTTTTCTCATCTCTCAGGATTCTTTCAAGCTCTTCTTATGAATCACACGCTTTAAATTTAGAGTTATTACATGCTTCTCTGACATGCCTGTTGCAAGGCATGATATATCTCTCTATGATTTCTTAAAGATTCTCAAATACTTCATCATTTATGCTGAGCTTTGAACCAATTGAGGCTCCTACTGGTTTCTCATGCTCAACAATATTAATGTGGACTATATTTCCAGTGTAGAATTTCCAAGTTAATGTGATATTGTTCTCACCTAATGAAGATGGTCTAAATAAGAATTCTCCTATTTCCTTATCCTAAAGCTCCATTATTGCTTTTGCTGAGGGAACATTTTTAAAGCTTGGATGAGCTATCCTTCTTGGAACAAACCTTCCTTACTAATGAGCTTTCTTATCAGGCTAAAAGGCATGATTTATCCAATCCTCCTTTGGTACATAGTTTTTATCTACATATTCTTGGTGGCTTTCTAGGTCTTTCTTTTTGCAGTTCAATTATATTCCAAACTTATTTTCATCTTAGAATTTAAGTTCATGAATTCTACCTGTTATTACATGACCAGGTTGAATCATATTTTAAAGTCTATCATCAGTCTTTTCAAGATCATTTTTCTAGATAGTTGCATCAAGACCATTGTCAAGTTTACAAAGTACCATGTTATCAAATACTTTTGAAACAGTGGCTGTGACTATCATTCCTTTTTTAAAAGTTTTATTAGTCTCGTCAATCAACATATAGAAGAGATCTTCATTTGTAATAGTAAGTTTAGTATGAGTTCTATAATCTCTAGGATCTTTGAATGGGTCAGAGAGCTCATCTACAATATACTCAACAAGAATAAGCATGTTTTATTGCTCAGTTTTTTCAAGCTCTAGACTATACTATTTAATGTCTAATTCCTTTAGTCTTTTTGGATTATTTATGACAGATATAATGGCCCTCTATGAGTGAATCATATCAACCTCCTGTCCTTTGAAAACTAAGTCCTTGGCTATTTTGTGAGCTTATAAGTAGGATTCAGGATGAATTCTAGTTTAGTCAAGAACATCACACTATCTTTCTTCTTCATTACACCTGATTTTTATAAATCCTGATGACAAGTATAAGCACTTCTGTTATAATAGTTCAAATATTTTTATTCTTTGGGTTAGCTTCTCTCCTCTTGATTTTAAAGTTTAAATGAATAGTTTTGCCTTTCTTGGTCCGAACCCGCACACAAAGCTAAGTAAAATGTGCATGTGATCATGATCTAGCAAGAGATTAATATCAATTCCTACAGCATTAACGCATTTAATGTTAACTTCCTCGAGAGCATCTGACAATTTAGCTTAGTTAATCTACTTTTGAAGAGGATGCAGATTCAGTTACAGAGTCTAATTTTCCGAAGGCACGAAACTCCAAAGATTCAGGATTTCATTCATTGGATCCTATTCAAATCTCGCCAGGCTTACAGCTTATTTTAGAATTAGGTGCTGATTCTTAAACATTTTCTTGCTCTAATGGCTATTAGCAAATAGCTTTGGGATATCTAGGTTACCCCAGATTACAAATGCCTCTCTTCTCGATTCATTTTCATAGTCTCTATGAGTCTTTTTATTACCTTTTCTAGTATCTCCTAAATCATCCCTAAATCCTGCATAGTTTTTGAGTCCCTCTGCAACAGAACTCAGGACCTTTTTAATTTATCTAGCTGCAAGTTTATTTGCACCCACTACTATCAAATCAACTGAATGCTTTAGGATCATTTCCTTTATTTTATCTTTATCAGTCTCATGTTCTTTGTTTTCTTCCTCATGCTATAGCTTAGCTTTCTTATATCTTTAATCTTCTTCATCTGTTGCTCCTGGATTCTATTAGAGATTAAACTTTCTTGGAGGCATAAGGTGCAATAGGTCTGCCTAACCAACTAATTCACCATATTTATCTACGATAGCCACTGAAACGATTTGGTTTATACTGTCAAGCTATTATATGATAACTCCCATTACTGTGCATCTCGGTCTATCTGGGATGTATGCATAACTGTCCTCATCAGGTTTCCTAGATTTACCAGGGAATCCTCCTGATTCTCTCTCATCTCTAGATGTTTTGGAGAATTCTTCACATGAGAATGGACCAGTCATAAGTAAGTCCCTATAAGTCTACTGGCACACTTATATCACATTACTTTCAGAGCTTTATCTGAGTTCATCTCTAATTTCTTGAGTCAAGTCAGGAATTAGAATTTCATAAGCCATCATTCTGATAGACTCATCTTATATTTATTTGTGATAATTATCAGCGTCCAAAGATCTGTACTTCTCGTATAAGTTTTAGACAAAGAGTTCTTTTTGACTTTAATCGTATTATATAGTCACTTTAATGGCGCCACTCTTTTCATTTTGAATAATGTCGAGATAAATATCTTTTAAGGAGTCGATGTTGAAGAAGTCATTCAATGGTTATTTGGTAATCCTCTTGACTCTATAACTAGGATGGAATGGATCAAGATCCTTTTTGCCCTGCTCTGTTGGCTCAGTGGTTAAATGGCCAATAAGATAGAGATGCTTCTTTGCCTAAGCTCTCAAATAAGGCTAAACGCTAAGCGCTGTTGCTTAGTATCTATAGTATAGTGTAATTAAAGTGAAATCTCTTACTTAATAGCGCACTGTAGAGCCTATTTGATTAGGAAATCAGGTCTTATATAAGGTTCAGATATCACGTCTAATCCTGTTTTATTGCACTTCAATTCATGAATAATACTGTTGTTCATCAAATTTTCAATAAAGAGCATAGGATCTAAGAAAAGTCTTGAAGCAAGTTCATCTATTTTGCCGTTTCTATAGCTTTGAACATTGTCAGATTTAAATGGAAGTTTTTTACTCTTATCCTCATTAAGTGTTTGAAGTTCCTTGTGGTAGTATGATTTCAGGAATTTTATCAGAGGTGAGTAGTTATTCAATTGTTGAAGATTTTTCACTTTACTAATACTATTGACAAGATCTGATAATCTTGGATCAATATTAGCAAGCTTTATAAGAGTTGCTTTCATCTATCCAAGCTATTATTGGAATTTACCATATTCCAAATCAAGATTGTATATTGTCCAAATGTCTTGCTCATTTAAATACTTAGCGAACTCAAACTTTCTGTATTTAGAGATATAGGGAATATCCATGTAATCGCATCTAAAATATTTGATTATCTAGGCTATTTTGGTTTTGACTTGATCCTCATAGTGAAGTAAATTGTCTCTTTTGGTATCATCTACTATCCTGTGAAGAATCCAATCTACCTCATTTGCTATATCTTTCTCAATATTTGGAAAGTTCTCCTAGAGACGACTATTTATGAAATTAAGATATTAAAATGTATTACTCAGCAATTTTAATTTATAGCATTTCAGGAATATCTTTATCAGCTATAGCCTTGTCATTACGAGTTGCAAACTAATCGTCTATTTCATCTCCATCAAAAAGTTCCTCAAGCTATCCTCTTTGATCTTATTTCGTTGCATCTTCTCTTTATTTTTGAGCTTTAAGCATCCTATCTTTAAGCACTTCACGGTCTTCAAAGATCATTCTGGCAGCAGCTGCTCTATCTGGATCAATTCTATTGTCTATATTCTATTCAGGATATATTTTATCTCTCTACAATCTCATCTGCTACCTCTATCTTTGTAGACTAGTGTCAATTTGCTCCTCTTATCTATCAGGTGAGTCCTGATCTCCTGGACTTCTTGTTTTTTTATATCTGTTTTAAGCATAATCAGGGTTTGATTATCTTTGATCTGTATCACTTTTTTGAGACTCTATCTCCTAATCAATATTTTTTCTCAATTTCTTTCTCTTTCTTTAAATCTCAACTCCGGTGTTCTGCAAAATTAGTTCTAAATCTTCCTCGTCAGGCAAAATATGAGTTTTTTCTGATTTTCTCTTTCTTTTTTTACGGTCTCCTCTACTTTAGCGCCGCTCATCCTCTAGCTGCTTGACCAATTCTTCTTCTACTTCCTCATCATCTGCAATAAAATCGTTCTATAGTCAACAAATTATGGATTTGATAAATATAATAATCCTTACCATTTCATCGTCCTCTTCCTCCTCATCATCATACTCGTCGTCCTCATCTTCATCATCAATTCCTGACCCTTCCTCATCATCTCCCTCTTATTAGTCATCCAAATCAGCATCCTTTGAAATCGATGACTTAGACTCACTTTAATCTCTTTTTCTCTTCTAATAGTAATTGTAAAATCTTATTGAGTTTAAATTACCCTATCTGAACCCTATTTTTTCTTTTGGATCTTTGAGTTAGACTACATTTAATTGTCATTTTCATCTTCAATTGATTCTTCATTCTTCTTTCTTTTCCCAAGTTTGCTCTTAAGCTCTGTCTTTGATCTTGAGTTATTGTTCATACTGCTCAATATGATTAACTTAATTAATGATTATTAATATACTTCAACTAATCCCTCCTTAATTTAAGTTAATGGGGTTTTGGGGTTTTGGGGTTTTGGGG